GGTTCAACTTCCTATAACACAAATAGTATACATTCAATTTTGTAAGAGAACCATATCCACTATGCCACGGAATTGGTTTGATGAATTTTCTAGACTAGCCTAATCTAAATATTAAACATTTAGACCTCAGACTTCCTTTTTAATTCTAAACAACAAATAGTAAATATATTTTAATGGAGCATGAAACCAAGTTGTAAATATCCTTAAATATTTATGGCTGAATTTTGCACAGTAGCTAATATTCCAATTCTATGTGTTAAATCATGAAATTAGGTCAAGAACTGAAGACGATGACATTGTTTGGGCTTATTAATTACTGGCCACTAAACTAAACTAAACATCCTAACATGCAGGTGGCATAGTAGTTGCTAAATCTAAATTAAACCCTAAGACACAGTGAAAGTAGCATATAGTTGTTAAATCTCTATCTGTTGACAACTTAAGATATTTTATCTCCTCTTTTTTTTTGTTCTCCATAAGACTACTTCTGAAATACCAGTATGCACAAGAGTCTTCTGAGGAGTTTGTCAAACAATGTTAACAAGCTTTCTATCAAGTTTTCTCTAACTTGGAGGTTAGCATTTTCCATTGAATATGGTAATATATAATAAATTAAACAGCCTAATGTACCTCCCTCACTTACAGTAAGAGACCAAGAAGAGAAAAAAATGCTTAATTAATATAGAGATATACATAGATTAATAGATATATGCATACATGTTTATATATATATACACAATGTTGAACCTGAGATTCTATATCACTTTCATGTCCTGAAAGGGTATCAGTGAGAATTAAATAATCTAATATTTTAAAGATTTTGGAATACTGTCTGGCTTGTTATTATTATTGTTTTCATTACTATTCTTATTATCTGGTAACAAAGAGTTCAACTTCGGTCATTGTGTGGCTGGGCTCACTTTCAGGTTCCATGCTTTACTGAATGTCTGACCTTGGGCAGGTTGCTTAACACCTTAATTTCCAGTTCCCTCCTCTGTAAAATTATAGTATTCACTTCATTGGGTTGTGACAAAGTTTAAGAGTCATAATGAAAAGTTTTTAGACCTGTGCCTGTGCCTGAAATTTAAGCAGGATCCAATAAAAGTTGCTGTTCTTGTTGGATCTGTGGTTGTGACGAAGGTATAATAATCCCATTTTACAAATGAGAAGACCAAGGTGAAAGATGTCACATAACTTGCCCAAATTCATACAGGTATTAACTAAATGAATTTGGTCAAATGCAGGTCTATCGGAGGACAGGATTCATGCTTTTTTCAGTCTATCAGGCTGCCTCTCATTCATCTTGACTGAATTTTGAAGATGTGAATTCAGCAATCTCCACAATTCTTAAAGGTAGAATGCAATTAGTAAATATTTCTGGATTGGTCTTAACAGTAGAACCATACTTAAAAGTCAACAAGGTATGATTTCCAAAACCCCAAGAAATATCTTTCTCCATAGATGGAATCAAAATTCACTAGTACATCAGTGACTGACACTCTATAATTGATTCTTTCCTCTGTTTCTGTAAAAAGTACCCTATAATAGATAAGTACCCTATAATGGATAATTTGTTCTTTAGTGTGTAATGACATTATCATTTTTGGTTTTTGTTTTGCTTGTCTCTGTTGTTATTATTGTTTTCCAAAAGCAGATTTTGAGTAGGACACGTAGGACCAAATAATGAGTACACAATGAAAAGGAGTAATGAATTGCACCTAAAGCCTTTAATATATTCTATAAAACTACATAACCTAGCTCCTAATTATTTCCAAAACCTTTCTCATACCACTCCGCTCCTCTATTCTTACCTGGTAGAATATATTATTGTTCCTAGTTAGTCTCTGCTCTCCCTTTAAGAGAACTATAACATATCTGCCCGTTGCTATGTGACTTATAATGCCCCCTAGGAGAGCAGGATCCTTCCTTGCTCTACCCACGATGACCATGGCCACATGTTTGATTAACCAATGGAATATGAGCCAAAGAGATTCAGCTATTGTGTATGGCTCAGTTACTTCCATCTTTTTCTTCTATCACAAGAATGGCATGTTACATTTAGGAACTGCTCTTCCTGGCTTAGTCCTGAAATGGAGACTCGGAGAGCAGCAGCACAGCCCAATAGCACATCACCTACAGAGTGAGATGTGAGCCTTTATTGTAATAATCTACCGACATGGTGGGGCTGTTACTGCACCACAACAGTGAAAGCTGCCTAATTCAACATTCCATTCACACTAAGCTATTTTTAATTCCCCAATTGTGTCACACTCCTCCTCACTCCCAAGCATTTATACTGCCATTTCCTTTAGCTTAGATCATACTCATTCTCCAGTTTTGATTATGTAACTCTTATTCAGCCCTTATGTCTCAGCTTGTAAACCTTCCTGATCCCCCTATATTGTGTTAAGTGCCTTCCTATATATAGGTTCCCATAGCAACTAGACCTTTCCTATCATACCATGCTGAATTGCGAATACCTGTTTGTTGGTCTGCATCCTTCCTGAGGCTGCTAGCTTCATAAGAGAAGGGACAGGATTTGTTTTGCCTCTATTGTTCCATCACTGTCAAGTCTAGTGCTTGGTTTATAATCAACTCACAGGACAATTTACTGAATAAGTAAATTGATGAACAAACATGTGAAAGAATGGGGGGCTGTATGGTAAAAAAGGTTAAGTATATCGTCTTCAAACTCCCTGGACTCAAATCCTGGCTATTTTGCCTCCTAGCAGGACTAGCTACATATTTGTGGAGCTCAAAACAAAATGAAAATGTGAAACTCTTGTTCAAAACTAATTAATAGTTTCAATATAAGGACAGCAAGATCATTAAACCAAGTACGACACCCTTCTAAACATGGGATCCTGTGCAGCTGCTTAGGTCAAAATGCCCTTGAAGCCAACCCTGATTCCTAGCTGTATAAATTTGAACAAGTGAACTAACCTTTTTGTGGTTCTGTTTCCCTATGTGTAAAATGTGATTAAAATAGAATTGAAGTTAATGTATATACAGTAGTCTCTCCTTATCCAAATGGGATATGTTCCAAGACCCCCAGTGGATGCCTGAAACTGAGGATAGTACTGAACTTTATAGATACTATATAGAAGTCCTTTTGTTTTTTTCCTCACAATTTCATGGAGAGAAGATTCATTCTTACCATAGATCTTAGTAATCTCAATATATGATTATTTTTCTTCCCTTATTAAGTCAAGAACTTCCAATTTTTCACTTAAAGGAAGCACTTTATGGCTTCTCTTTGGCATATCTGAATTGTAAGCATCACTAATCTTGAGCTTTGGGGCCATTATCAAGTAAAATCATGGTTACTTGGCACCAGCACTGCAATACCATTACAGTTGATCTGATAACAAACACAATGATTAAATGATGAACAAATGGGGAGCCTAGACAGTGTGGATATCCTGGACAAAGAATAATTCACATCCCAGAAGAGATGAAGTGGGACACTTGAGAATTCATCACACTACTCATGATGACAGGCAATTTAAATCTTATGAATTGTTTATTTCTAGAATTTTCCATTTGTTAATTTCAGACTTTGGTTGACCACCAGTAACTGAAAATGCAGGATGTAAAATCATGAATAATGCAGGACAAGTGTAAAGGCTTTATAATAATGAATCTTACATATATACTATTATTACAGATAGGAGAAACTATGGATGTCAAGGGCAAATTTTTATTTTTCCAAATTTTGCTCCAGGTTTCCTAAAGGCTACAAGACTGCCCAGGCCCACCAATCTAGATCAATGTTTCTGAACTGGGGGTGATTTTGCCTCCCACGGGACATCTGACAGTGTCTGGAGACATCTTTGGTAATCACAACTGGGGGCATTACTGGCATCTAGTGGATGCTGCTAATATTCTACAGCACACAGGGCAACCCCCAGAGCAAAGAATTACCGGTTCAAAAATATCAACGGCACCAAGGCTGAGAAACCGATATCTAGATTGATTTCTGGGCTTCCAAGGACAAATCACCGAGTTTTTTAGACTCTCAGTTTCTCTATCTATAAAACATGGCCAATAACAACTGTGCCTACTCGCTTTGCAAAGATGTTGTAGAGATGAATTGAGAGGGAAAAAGCCTAACTCTCAGAGGGGAAAGGGTACTATTACAGCCTGAGGTGTTATTATCAAGCTGTGCCGACACTTTCACTCTCAGGAAGCCAAATGTTCTACTTGGAAATGATAATTTCCCTACACTAAATGAGCATTTTACTTCCCAGAGGGAGTCATTTTATTCACCTTTTGCCATCATTGGATTGGGCCCATTACAGCTGTTGTTCTTCCCTTATTTGAAATTTCATAACACACATAACAACAGAGCCTCTCCTGGAGGAATGGGCAGCCATGCAGTAACAAGCCACACACGTGTGCCCACATGTAAACAATCTGCTAACCCAACCAGCTTGGGTATTTATTATGTAAGTACCATTCTCATATCCAAATCTGTTTCAATGAGACTATTCAGTACAGAAGAAAAAATAACGTTCTTGTGAGCCATCGTTCACATCAGCCACTCTTCCAAATTCCAATGTGTGTTACCAGATAAATAGTAAAGCACCATTTTGACTTTCTGTTTATAAAGTGAATGCTTTAGAGACTGATTGGCATGGCAAGAGGTAAGGGGGAGGTGAAGGAACAAGGAAAAGTTCAGGCAGGGAAAATAAAGGAGAAATCCTAGGAAACCACAAATGCACTCAGCCAATATTCTCAAATGCCTTAAATGTGTAATTAATCAATAGTTTGTGCGTGAAGACTGCACTGCTTGCATGAAATCAGAATGGAACCACATTATAGCAATTAGAAGGAGCTAATGTCGGTGCATGAGCCCCCAGATGTTCAGATCAATTGCTTTCTAACGAAATCTGTGTTCACAAAATAATCCCAGGACAGAAAGTACTAGCTGGGGAAAGATTTACCTAACATGAGTATTGCATCACAGTCTTGCTTTGTTCTCCCCTTTTGTCTGACAGTTGAGGAGCAGAGCTGCCACAGGCTTGCTGCGCAGGGCGTTGAAGGTGAAAGCTGAGAGGGAGACAAGCTGCTTGCTGTGAAGAGAACTACAGAGCATGAATCAACTTATCAAGTCCTATCAGTGCCTGCATGGGGAAACTCATGAGTATGAAACCATCTTTTTATGGCTTTCTCTAGGACCAGTAGAGGAGTAGTGGGCAGGCAATAGTAGTAGGGATGACAGCAAGCACTGTGGAAGGTACGGGGTGCCTTGGGGTCAGAATGAAGGCCTGGGCCTTCCACCCTCCAGTGTTGGCACTGCCTCTGTTTGTATGTTACCAGGACAGAGCCCTGGGGTGCAACTAAAGTAGAGGGCTGTAAGGACCAACACCTCAGCTCTAATTTTCATCACTTTTAGCTGTTTCAGTCACTGTATATCTGACTTTCAATTTCCTCCTCTGTAAAATGAGGATAATTATCCTTATATGACAAGCAGCAGTCCCCAATCTTTTTGGCATCAGGGACCAGTTTTGTGGAAGATAATTTTTCCGTGGGCCAGTTGTGGGAAGGCGGTTTTGGGATGAAATTGTTCCACCTCAGGATATCAGGCATTAGTTAGATTCTCATAAGTAGCACACAACCTAGATCCATCGCACGCGTAGCTCACAATAGGATTTGGGCTCCTATGAGAATCTAATGCCACTGATCTGACAGGAGGCAGAGCTCAGGCCATAATCTCCGCTCACTCACTCACCTGCTCACCGCCTGCTGTGCCGCCTAGTTCACCACAGACCACAGACTAGTCCCAGTTCATGACTTGGGGGTCGGGAACTTCTGTATAACAGAAGAATAAAAAAGAAAAAAAGTTTGTGAATAGAAAAACTTACAACACAACATATAGTTGTCACTCCATGCTTATTTATTCACTTTAGGAAAACATTTTTTCCCTACTTAAGATTGCCAATCTTCCTATGAAATCTCATTTAAAATTTACATCTTCCCCAAAATTGTCCTTGACTGGTTGTGCTACATCCACAGATCTCTTTTATGTCACATTCCTTGACCTTATAGGCACTCAGTTGTAGCTACTGCCCTTCACTCTTGATCAACTATCTGTCTCTGAGCGTCCTGCAGTTCCATCATCTCCATGTGTTCCATCTACACCAAAGCAGTGCTGACTGTCCTTGCTTGTGACTGGCATCTTAAAATTGTAAACAAGGGGACATGATGAATATTGTCAATTGCGTAAACTTCTGCATGACTGAATTCCTTGGCTTGGTTCTGGAAAAAAAAAAAAAAGACTCAAGTGGTTCCTTCTCATCACAAGCCTCTGTCATGTGTTCTGGTAGAAATCTAGAGCCTGAGGCCATGTTGGAATAAAGTCAGAGTGAGGAGGAAGTGAAAAAAATTGGAGGGATTCACCCAGTTTAGCCTCCGCTCCCCATCTATGTGCAAATATGTTTATGTTCCTAATCCTTTTCTCTTCTTGTCCTAAATTAATGTCTTAAAATTTCATAGTGCCTTTTAGGTATATTACACTGACCACTGATTCAATTACAGTAGAGTCACTAATTAATGGTGCTTTATTTAGCATAAGCTTAATTTTTGTGCACTTGAGATGCAAAATCACATAAATAAATATACAATCCAAAATAATGGGAAGATTTGTTATTTTACCAAACAAGTAAGACTGTACTGCTCCTGTCAAAGTAAGCTAACTATCACATGGCATTCAAAACCTACATGGCCAAACACCTGATATTGAGTCCCTGATTTGTTAGTGTGGCCTTTTTTAACACTAATAAGGACCAGTAAAGAAGCTCTTTCTCAATCTTGCTTTTCAAATCTTTTATTTCATATCTTCAGTAATTTGAGTCACTTTTCTTATTTGCTGTAGGAATCATACTTAAACATTCCACCCAACAGTGATCATATCAACAGCTCTCAGATGCTGACAACAGAATGTCATTGCTTTTGATAACTAATTATATTCTGTTATTGAATCATAATTTTCAAAAAATGTAAAATAAAAGCAAAAGAAAACAAATTCTCAATTTTGCATGCAGGTTATGATCAGCTGTTTTGTTGGAGCCTTACTTTGGATCCTCCCTATGTCTTCCTTCTTCTGTGTTCAGATGCAGAAGTGGATAGAAATGCAACAAGCAGCTGCATAATTAGCAGCAATTAAGTCGGAGTGAGATTTAACAAAGGCAGAAGAATACTCAATTTTGCCCTCTACTCCCAATTGTTCAGTCACAATTCTAACTCTAATTCCAAGAGGCTAAAACAGGAACTACCATCAGAACTGACATAAGAGAACAATAATGGAGCAAACATAGATTTGATTCTTGGCTTAGGCCAGTTGTTATTTTGAAAATACTTCATCCACTGCTACTTAAAGTGATCCTTCAGTGACTTTCCTAGATCAGTTATCTAATGACAGGATCGAAAGTCAAAGATTGTAGGGTTATAAGGAAGAGTTTGTTTGTTTGTTTGTTTGTTTTAATTTGTCCACCCTATCATATTGATCATAAATGACCATGTCTTCTGTTACCAATGCTAAGAAATAGACAATCAGTGCAACAATCCTGTTGCTATCAGGAAGCACTCAGGGTTCACCTGGCTCCCTAAGAGATAACAGCAGTCTTATGTTGTCCATCTGCCTCTCCCAGCTTCTTACTCTCACACTCACCATCAAAAGAGGGTGCTAGAAAAGGCTCCAGTCCAATCAGCACAGTCCAAGCCAGTTGGCCAGATGGTGGGTTTTGCTGCAGGGATAGCTAATGGACTCATGTGATAGTGACATCATCCTCCGGTCTTTCAGGAGAGGAGATGGTACTATTGAATTAGCTTTGCAAACGATTCTCTTTCAGCTTAATCAACATTTACAGAAGGAGGAATTAGATTGTACAGTCTGTAAATGCAGCTAGCCACCTTCCATGGTGAGACATTACTGCTTCTGATCACCACAGAGAATGGACTTTATTTGCACAGCCAGGTCAGGTCTGAGTGCATATTTACTAGCAATCATCATGGTTAATTTTAAACTGTTAGCATGTTTGTTTTGAGAAAGGAAAACAGGTCAGAACCCTAAAACTTGAAACATAAAATCACCTCTGAAGTACAGGCTCAGATTAAACAGCCTCAAGAAAAATATTGTAGTTTCCTAGTTAACCTTGAAATTCTTTGTTTTTTAATCTTTGGAATATTAAAATTTGTTAAATCTGTTGAGTTTGCTCCTCTTCTAAGCAAAAAACATATTCTTTTCAAAATCTGAGATTGTTTAGCTCAACTGGTTGGAACACAGTATTTAAAAAGACCTTATGGAGCAACTGTGTTTGTTGTATTCCATGGCGATAAGTTTCACACATGTAGTCTGGGAAATGTACATCCTGGTCCTAAGGGGTCTGAATGAAGCAGCTCAAACCTGAGGTTTCCTCTGGGAGAGACAGAAAAAAAGAGAGACAATGGCAAGTAACTGCTCTGCCATGGGCATCTGCTTTGTGTGTTGTATCTAATGCTGTATTTTACTACACTAAATAGATAAAACCGTATCAAATTGAGGACTCCAAAAGTTAGATTTTGAATTTTATGAAGTAAATTATGATTTTCAAGTACAAATACCTGCAAAAGTAAGCATTTAATAAAGGTAGATTGAGTAAATGAGTGAAAGAATTTATCAGCTCTGTCCAAAATCCTGAGCAAAATATAGAGGAGGCATGCTTTATTTGAATCTATCTATCATATAAATAGAGCAAAATTGAAGCATATGGAATTAAATCCAGATATCTAAAACTATTTTAAAGGTACTTAGTCTTGAAGAGAAGTGTAATATCTTCTCTACACCTGGATTTTTCTCCACATAAAACAGGGTAATCAACTTTTGTTATCAGACATTTTTAATCTGAAGAAAAATCACATCCTTATTTCCGTTTTTCCACTAGCTCAGCTCCTGGGAAACAAGAAAGGCAGAATCTTCAGACTGTCTGTGGTCCTAGCAAGCAGCATTCAGAGCATCATCTCCAGTGCTATCTTTCCTTCTGCTCTGGCCTACTCTGTTCTCCTATACCTTGGGTAAATGAACGGGGGCAAAGGAACGCTAATTTGGGCATCAGTTGAAAAAACTTACAGAAGTCATTGAAATGAGGATTTCAAAAATTCCAAATTTCAGAAAGCATGAATTATATTAAATAACAATCAAAAGCCATTTTAGCAAAATGGGAAGAACTTCATTCCTGTAAAATTTGGGGTACCTAAGTCCATCCCAATCTCTGCAGTACATGATCATAAATATTAGCATACTATGAGAAAGCCAACTATGTAAATAAGAAACTAACAAAGAATTCAAAACTAAGAATAAAACATAGCTGCTCACATCTTAAATACATAAAAAGCTATCAAATGAAATTATAATTAAATAATTAAAATCAAGTAAGATTTATTTTTCTCATGTTAGCATTTTTCTTAAATCAAAAGAAAACAAAATTCTCAGAAATATATTGCCTTTTACAACATCTAAATTAGTAAAAGTTACAAAGTAGTGATTAGTTTAAATTATATAGTTAGGATCAAATTGTTCACTTCAGGCTTTTATTTCAGATAAAATATATGTACCATACCATTTGACTTATTTTATTAAACAGAAATATTTCTGATACTTTATATATATTCACTGTACCTAGTCATATTTACTCATTACCTTTCATTGTAACTGAAGGTAAATGGAAGAGAAGAGTGTAATCTCCCACCATCGTCACCATTGTTTTCACAGGTATTATTAATTTACTATCACATCACAAAGAGTCAATATTTATTAAGCATTGTTGAAGTGCCAAAAATTATGCTTATAAAATTACTATAAATTAGAAATTCTTACTGTAACTGACCAAAGTCATAGAGCTTTCTAGTATAATTGGAATTTAATTTAAATCTACCTTACTCCAAAGTTCATACTTTTGCTAATAAATAAAACATACAACATACTTTGGAATGCAAAATTCATCTTTGCAAAGTCACTTATTTGGAGAAAATATATTAGTTTTACAAAATAGTGATACAATAAAACTATTCAATGAGAATATACAGTCCCCAACTTATGATGGTTTAACTTAGTGAATTTTCAGTTTTACAGTGATGTGAAAGTGATACATGTTCAGTAGAAACCATACTTTGAGTATTCATACGGCCATTCTGTTTTTCACTTTCACTGCAGTAGTCAATAAATTACATGAGATATACAACACCTTATTATAAAATAGACTTGTGTTAGGTGATTTTTCCCAACTGCAGGCTAATATAATGTCTGAGCCCATTTAAGGTAGGCAAGGTGAAGTTATGGTGTTCAGTAGATTAAGTATATTAAATGTATTTTCTACTTATGAAAATTTCAATTTGTGGTGGATTTGTCAGGATGTAACCCCTTCATAAGTTAAGGAGCATCTGTAATTAGTTATTTTTTTCCTATTTGTGTGTATAACAAAGTTGAATAGTTAGAAATAATTTCCAAATCATTTATTTCTTAAAAAAAAAAATTCTCCATAAAAGTTAATAATGTCAGGATAGTTTTTGCAAGTGATCCCTGTATTTAAAGATATATAAAATAACATATTTGGATTTCCTAGGGGTCAGTGGTAGACCTGCTAAGTTACTACTTTTCTTCGCTAGCCCATCCCTGGATTTGACACATAGGGGAAGGAAAAAAAAAGGAAAAACAAGAAAAAAGAAAAGAAAGAAGGAAGGAAGGAATGGAGAGAGGGAGGGAGGGAGAAAGGAAGGAAGGGAGAGAAAGAAAGAAAGAAAGAAAGAAAGAAAGAAAGAAAGAAAGAAAGAAAGAAAGAAAGAGAGAGAGAGAGAGAGAGAGAGAGAGAGAAAGAAAGAAAGAAAGAAAGAAAGAAAGAAAGAAAGAAAGAAAGAAAGAAAGAAAGAAAGAAAGAAAGAAAGAAAGAAAGGAAGAAGAGAGGAGGAGGGAGGGAAGGAGGGAAGGAAGGAAGGAAGGAAGGAAGAAAGGAAGGAAGGAAGGAAGGAAGGAAGGAAGGAAGGAAGGAAGGAAGGAGGGAGGGAGGGAGGGAAGGAGGGAAGGAAGGAAGGAAGGAAGGAAGGAAGGAAGGAAGGAAGGAAGGAAGGAAGGAAGGGAGGGGAAGTATAAAGATCTTAGAAACCAAAGATCCTGGGAAGATAAAAGATTGTTATGACATGGTGTGGAGAGGAAAGTAAAGTCTAGGGCAGATAGGGGCTGGATGCCACAGACAAGAGAAACAATGGAGGAACAACAAACTGAACAATCTAAACTGGGACCAAAGTAAACGTAAGTGTAACACAAATATGAAAAATGTAAAATAAAAATAAACATAATTACAAGATTTATGGAAGAAGGTTAACCTGAGACAGTACCAAGCAGTTTTAACAATAAAACAAAGTGGAATTATACTTAGGAAAAATTTACCAATGAGGCAAGGAGAAAATGGGATGAAGTAATCATGAATAGATGGTAAACCTAAATATACTCTGTTATATAGATTTGATTTTGACATAATATATATAACCGTAAAAAAACTAAATTAAAAAACAATTCAAATGTTTAAAGCAAAATTAAATGAATGTAAATGTATATCCAGTTTGTAGCATAATCACACTGAGAAGAACCCTTTCTAATGACTCTGATACAAAGAAATTTGATACTATACATCTTTGGGGAAACATATCATAAGGACAAAAAGCCTGAAAATAAATTAATTAAATAAATTGTTTTTAGTAATCATACTGTAAGTGGTAATATTGTTATTCAATATATGACTATTACAAAAGTATTTTAGAATAAAGAAGATCAGAAATTGTATGAGTCTAGAGATGCTGGCATTTGGAGCAAAGGAAATGAGAAACAGATATCAATGTATTTCCTTTAAATTTATGTTAAAATCTCCAGTCCTGTATTTGAGTTGGAAACATGAATATGAATTCATAAAATATTTGATCCTGAAATAGAATGTATCCTCTGGCTATAATTAATACCCCAACTGGTAGCAAGACACTCCCCTAGTGCCCATCTTGTGGTATCTAAATACCAATTCTCACTAAAAGAAACTGCAGCCTCCTAAAGGAAAGTCTAATTTGAGGTCTAGACTATGAAATGTATAAAAAGAACCTGAAAAATTCTGTCACATCAATCACTAAACAAGAAAGATATCAAAAACTTCTGAGAGTGAATCAAAAGCACTTAGGAGTAAACTAAAGAGGCTCCCACTGGCCAAAGGTGGAGCAATATGAACATCAAGAAGAATAATGATTACAATGGACTTAAAGATATAAAATTTATATAAATCCATTTATATATAATGATACTTAGAACAAAGAACAGCAAAATTAAAACAACCTCATTGATCACCTTTGGAGGATGCCAGGTGTTGAAATTATTACTTAGGAAACTAGTAAACAAATGGAAAGAATCAAGCAACTATCTTTCCTTTCCTATATGAATTAACTTTAGATTAAGCAACGAGCTGATGAAAGTTTCTCTTTATAAACTGTGTTGGTTTCCTAAGGTTGCAGTAAAAAAATATGACAAGCTGGGGCCGGGGGGTACCTTAAAACAACAAACTTATTTTCTCAAAGTTCTGACAGCCAGAGCCCAAAATCAAAGTGTTAGTCATGCCCCCTCCAGAGCCTCCAGAGGAGGATTCTTGTCTCTTCCAGCTTCTGGTGGCTGCAGGAGTTCCTTGGCATGTAGCAGTAGAACTTCAGGCTCTCCCTCCCTTTGCCTTCACATGGCCATCTTTCCTGCCTTTCTGTTTGTGTTCAACTTTCTTCTCTCTTATAAGAATAATAGTTATATCAGATATACTCCCCCCATGAATTTGTCCTAACTTGATTACATCTGGAAATGCAGATGGAAATAGCAGAAATGCTGGTTCCAAACAAGGTCACATTCACAAGTATGTGGGGTAGAACTCCAACATACCTTTTGGAAGACCCATAACATAGAGTATTCCAGCTATTAATGAGAATGAATAGAATAAAATATCATTTTTCAACTCCCCGTAAAATAATGAACCTACGCAAGGATGATCAATGACTAACAACATCAAAAAAGAGGCTATTTTGGACCTTCTGAACAAAGTATACAATAACCATCTATTGATAAGTTTTATCAGAAATTCTGTCGTAAGTGTTCAAGCCTCTAGCACTTAACTACTAATTTACAGCAAATACAGACATCATAGGAACAATTATAAAGAACACCACAGGGATGCAATCAACAACAAAATTTAGACTGTAGGAAACGATGAAAAACAAATAACTTATTTCTCCACTAAATACATTAAAAGGGAGACAGAGAGAGAGAATGAGAGGGGGAGATCGATAGATTTAAAGCGATCTAAAAGAAAACTCAAGAAATTACAATATATGCTCCATATTTTATTTCAAAACTGATTTCACCAAATAAACTGTAAAAAAAATCATTTTAAAGATTATTAGATGTACATACTACTTTTAAGTACTGATTGAATAGTACATGATGTTAAGGAATTAGCACTAATTTTCAGAAAACAGTGGTATTGTAATTATGCTTAGAAATAAAAAGAATTTAGCTCTCTAGAGACACATGCTGAAATACTTATAGATGAAATGTTACAAGGTTTCACTTTACTTCAAAATAATTTAAAGGCGGGGAGAAAACAAACGTGAAAGTAAAACAAAATTGGCCATGAATTGTTATATATTTAAACCAGTAATGGATACATGGCACTTAATTTTCTTATTCTTTTATATTTCTGTGTTTAAAATTTCTGCAAAATAAAATGTTGTATATATATATAAAACAAATAAACTATAAATTTAATAATGAGGTAAAAACCTAAATGTTCACATCAGAGAACAAATTAATGGCTGGAATATGAGATAGAGGATTCTCCAGAAGACACTGGGAAGAAATGAAGAGATAAATAGGCCGTACACAGGGGCTTATGCCTGCAATCCCAGCACTTTGGAAAACCAAGGCAGGTGGATCAGTTGAGTTCAGAAGTTCAAAACTAACCCTGCCATCAAGGCGAAACTTCATGGTGTGGTGGTGCATGCCTGTAATCCTAGCTACTCGGGAGGTTGAGGCATGAGAATCCCTAGAGCCCAGGAGGTGAAGGTTGCATTGAGCCAAAATTGCACTCCAGCCTGGGCAACAGAGGAAAACTCTGTCTCCAAAAAAAAAAATTAAAA